CTATAAATAATTAAATCATTGTTACGAAAGTTCAAAACTTTTAATGAGCTGCTTAAATAATTTTAGGATTAGAGTATATTCACACAAAAGGAATCATTCATGCAGATATAAAACCTGAAAATGTATTAATTGACTCAAATGGACATTTAAAATTGATCAATTTTGGATTAGCCAAGTATGTTGTTTTAGATGAGAATGAAGAAAGATATAGGTCAGGAACAAGTCTATATATGTCTCCTGAGGTTATCTTATTCAAAAATTGGACTACAAAAATAGATATTTTGGTTCTTAGGATCTGTATCTTTGAATTCTTACTTGGATACATCCCATTTATTTATGGTAGTAAAATTAAGGTGTTTCAAAGAATTTTAGATCTTAAAATTCGATGGCCACCTGTTGATTGCATCCAAATGATACCTGATGCTGAATATTTGGTTCAAAATTTATTAAATCTTGATCCCAATAGACAAATGTCCATTAGGAAAATCAAAAGTCATATTTTTTTTTTAATAACATTGATTGGAAAATATTCATCAAGAATCTTCCTCAAAATAATAATAATTTAGATATTTTAAAATAATTTAGTTTAATTTTCATTAAATTTAGAAATTAATTTAGTTTAAATTTTTTTTTTCATTAAATATGTTTTTATATATATATCTATCTCTCTCTTTACTTTTAATAATAAATTTATTATATAACAATTTAAATGCTACTGTGTTTAATTTTATTATCTTTATTTTAATATGATTATTATTTTTTATTTATTGTATCAAGATGGAAACAACAAACCCATCTTAAAAAATTGAAAACATTGAAGGTAAGAAATATTTTGTAACATTTGCATTTAACTTTCTATAAAAACAGTAATAAATTAAATCAAGGAAATAATATATTATAGTATTATTATATTTTATAAATAGATCAATATAATTAGATAGATCTAAACATCACAAAACATTAGGTACAATTTATTATCTCGAGTATTCGATCTATTAGCATTTGATTTTGCTTTCAGAAATTACAGTAAGTATTAAAAAAATTATATTCACTTGATTCACTTTAATAATAATACTGATAATAGATACATCTCAACACTACTACTTAATTATACTTTTATAACTTTTATAGACTTATTCCAACATCTGTATCATATAATACCACTTGTCTAGTAGAGATTTGTATAATTTTTTTGCTTAGATCATTCTGCCTGACAAAATAAATGTAAGGTGTTAATTATAATAGAAAAAAAAAACAGGAAAAAAGAACAAAACAGAATTCTGGTTTGACATAATACTTCTGGTGAAGTAATCTGAAAGTCAAGCTACGGAGAAAAAGTTTCATATAGAGTCATGCCAACGAGTAATGTTTTGCATTTTCTTCATCAAGAATCAGCTGCAGGTCTTATAGTTATAGAAGAAATACTACATCCGCTATACTAGAGACAGTATAGATATCAAACTTTGTTCTAAACAACCACCATAGGTCATACAGACGCTGGATACTGTGGGTAAAAAAAATGAGCGTCCTTATTCTGGACCCCTGGTTCAGGGTGAAATTTATGAACCCCCGGGGTTCAGGCAAATTATTCTAGACCCCATCCTTTTTAGTAATAAAAATTTCCAAAATTAGGGACTAAGATTTGATTGGAAAATTTTGCGAAATAATTATCATTTTTTTAAAGTCATTTTTTATTTTTTCGAAACTCCAAGCAATATATATTAATATACCATAATATTTTTTTTTGTTCCAATTGCATTATTATTTAGCACTATTATTTATTACCCTCTTATTTTTATACACAAACTTTATTTATAACCCTTCTATTAAATATTTATATATTTATTTACAATTACAATCGTATATTAAATTAATTTAACCCTATATATTATAATTTTATTTTATTTTTAACCCCACTCAAAATCACTAATTTAGTAATCTAGATTCTCTAAAAATAAAAACTTGACCCAGCCACTTGAAAACTAGTAGAAACAATAAAACAAACGAAGTATTACCTGCCTTTAGTTCTATAAATCCCTCTTGAACCTTGAAATTATCTTTCTTTCTTGTCTAGATCTATAAAACGGTACTGCGTCACACGATTTAATTATAAAAACTGACCTAAAAATAATCGAAAAACAGTAGTTAGTGTCCATATACACGAAGAAACAATAAAATAAACATTACAATATTCCTGTTAACCTCCTTGAACTTTGAAAATACCTTATTATAATTTTGTTTTATTTTTAATCCTACTCAAAATCACAATCTATAAAGTAAAAACAGACGATTTAGTAATTTAGGTCCTCTAAAAATAATAAAAACATGACCCAACAACTTGAAAACTAGTAGAAATAATAAAACAAATGAAGCATTACCTACCTTTAGTTCTATAAACCCCTCTTAAACTTGAAACTACCTCTCTTTCTCCTTTTTGTCTGTGTTAACTCCATGAACCTAAAAAAAAAGATTATCAGCTTTAGGTGTAATAATTATTAAATATTTTAATTAGTCATGAACCCAGTGAAAATAAAGAAAAGGAACTAACCCCGCGAAACAATTTGATTCAAAAGAAAATATTCAAAACGAAAATAATAAAAATAATAATAATAACAAAATAAACAAAGATTATTTATTTGATGGGTTGTACAACTAAAATTTAACTTTGATATTTATAAATTAAGAAAGGGTCTAGACAAAATGACCTAAACCCCGGGGGTCTAGAATAAATGACCTAAACCCTGGGGTCTAGTTTAAGTTTTCTCATTATTTTATTTGTTAATATTTATCACATGATGATCATGTGTTCCTGATTTCGGTTTTCGAAAAATAAATTTTTATTTTGATTAACCAATTGTTGACCAGACCATTTCGAAAATAGCGATAAATAATAACAAAAATACATTCCGATATATTTTTTAAATAACAAATTACACTATGCGTGGCTACTCTAATCGCTAGTTTATATTTCAAAAAAAACAAAGACATGATTTAAAAGTTTTATGATTCGATTTTACAATGGTTACACGATTTTTTATTACTATGAAATTTCTTAAATTGTACTAGCGAGTTTACCAGACGTACATGGAAAGATGTGAATAATGTGTTCCAGAATTTGATTGAACACAGTAGTACATTTACTTTGCAAAAATAATTTGTATGATAAATGAAGATGCTGAAATTTGTTATATTACCCTCTGTACTTTGATTAAATAACGAAATAAATTATGCAAATCCAGCAACTTATTAATCTTATTAAGCAATATGCTTATATTTCTAATGTTGATACTACAAATGAAAAATTGTCAAAACTCATTAAAGGCGGTCTTTCAAGTTTGCACATAATATGTGGTAAATGTTATAAACAACCTTTGTAATTAAATTAGAATATTAATTAATTAACTTTGCTTCTAGATTTTGATTGCACAATGACAAAATATATCACCTCAAAGGGCAAACGCAATCTTGGTTCACACCATATTCTATCAGCAAGTTCATGTTTAACACAGGAAGTTTGTATATTATAAAGTTATAATTTATCACAAAGATTTTGAATTAGAAATTTTATTATACTAATAAGTGAAATGGACAATGATCTATCTTCTTTCCCGAAAAAGTATAAAGCAGAGGTCAAAAGACTAAACGATTATTATTCTCCATTCGAAACGAATATGGAAATGACTAGTGCAGAAAAAACACCATATATGGTTGAATGGTTGATGAAAATTCACAAACTTATAATAGAACAAAATATTCATAAGGATAAGATAAACGAAATGGTGGCGGAAAATGATGTAGAAATGAGAGATGGATTGGATTTATTGGCTGAAAAATGCAAAGTTGGAAACGTACCATTCTTAATATTTTCAGCCGGGCTTGGCAGTAATTATTGTTTCTCTCTTTAATCAATATTTATCTGTTTTATTTTTAAATTTCAATTCTTACACGAAAATATTACATTCTAAGATATAATCGAGCAAGTCCTCATTTCAAAGAATCTTTTCCATCCCGACAACATGTACATCATCTCCAACAAAATGGGATTTAACAAAGAAACTGGAATATTCGATCACTTCAAAGAACCATTAATTCATACATTTAATAAAAGTGAAGTTATGATCAAAGATAGCCTCTATTATAATACAGTTAAGAATCGAGGTAACATCATTTTAATAGGTGATTCTATTGGCGACTTACAAATGGCTAGTGGAATCTCACATGATATTTGTCTATCAATTGGTTTTTATAACAAAAATGACAACTTTTTTGATAAATATCAAGAAATGTTTGATATTGTAGTGACTGATGATGGACCAATGAATGTCATAAATTATATTATGGACGCTATTATTAAAACATAATTTGTAAAGTAATTAGAAATCTACAATATTATAAAAAAAAATAGAATAACAATGAACAAAATTAGAAAAAATATATGTAAATATTAAGCAATATATTTTTTAAATTAATAATTAATAAATTTTATTGAATTTCTGATTATTTAAATTATTCAGTGACCTAAATTCTACTAGAGTGATGCAAACTCACCTTAAATTTAACCTGTGTAGAGACTAGAAAGTATATTGTTAAAATGAAAGAATTGTTGGCATTAAAAATCCGTTGAGAAGAAATTTGTTTCACGTAAGACATCAGATATATTATGATCAGACTTGACATCTACTATCCACAGTATGGGTTTGCTATAGAAGTACAAGGTAAGCAACATGAGCAACATATAAAACATTTCCACAAAAATGAGGAAGACTTGAGAAGCAATTAATACGCGATCAACTCAAGAACGAATTATGCGAAGAAAACTGGATTGTTTTAAGGTATGTTTGGTACTACGAAGACCCATATGTCGTTATTCCAGAGCATCTTCGAGAATTGGGTCTTATTGAGTAAACTTAAAACTTTAAATGTGCATTTTAAAATTGACTACATAAAAAATCATGTGCCTTATTTTTTCGTAAATAAAAAATCAAAATCTGATACATATATTTATTAATATACAAAGTTAAAGGAATTCCATCTTGTGACACTATACTCCCTTACCGCGACCTCTTGTACTTCCTCTTCCCCTTCCCCTATTCGTTTCTTTTGAGATTTTGGATAAAAAATTTTAAAATGTCATAGCTTTTGGCCGATCTGGTGAGAATCCGGTTGCATATTTAATTTTAGGTTTTGCAACAATTTCTTATACCACTCGATCTTTTTAATAATGTTGTATCGTAAACATAAGAGTGTTCGGATAAGTCTAGGTACGTGTTCTAAATTGATAGAGGAAGTTGGGATAGTAAGAGCTGGAATTGTAAACGGTGAAAATAAGTACAAGTCGGGTCCAATAAATATCAATTGGCCAATTTCGATTTTATCAGCTACAATCAAGTAAACAAGAAGTGTATTAGATTTGAAGTAAAAGAAACACCTGCAGGTTCAAAAATATTAAAAAAAATTTTACCAAATCCTTGAGCCAGGAAAACACTCAACGTTTCACATACTTTTCACGTTGGTAACTCAGTGCTTATTATAAACTTATTAAAAGCAAAAACACCCTCATCCATCAACTTCTTTCTGTCTCCATTAACCTTATCCAGATCTGGTTTATTAGGACCTTCTAATACCTCAAACAAAAATAATGGGATTTGTCTGGGTCACTCAAAAAATTCCAACACACCATCGGCTTTATAACCATTACTTGGGACGTCTATCTTTGTATCGATATCTCGTTCACATGAGAAATACTTCAATGAGTCAATAAAAGAAAATGTAAAAAAAAAATATATGCTAATACGTGAGCTATCTATTGTTGCAGTTGGCACAGAACAATACGCAAAGTTATGTCAATCAGTCTCACTAATTTCATGCTCTCGTTGCACCACAACTGTATAACCCAATGTACTTACGATTCTCTTGTATTGTACGTAATACTTCAAAATTCCTCTCTATTCACTGTTAGGATCAAGCCACCACTTGCCTAACACAGCGAATAACAATTTTCAACAACTCAATAAACTCAATAACTGGCACAAGTGCAACCTGAAGGTGTGTGAGCAAGTGAAGTAAAAGTATCTTTATATAGTAACTTTATTTGCGAAACAACAGTTTATTGAAATTTATTACAGAACTTAGCAATAGAAATATTACAGGCTGTTGACTGTTTCTATAACTATTACTAATTTTATCTATGATTAAGATTATCATAGTTATTGAATTATTGTAATTATTGTAATAATTGTAAAAAAGGAAGAAAATATGAAAATAAAGAATAAAATGTAATAGAGAAATAAAGTGATAAAAAAATAAAAGTGTTAAATCCCCGAAGCTTGCCAAAAGAATCCGTCCCTTTTCATCCTTTATCCACTGGTTATTTTATACCTTTCCAATTTTGTTTTTCTTTTTGTTATCACGTCTAAACACGTTTTTCCCCTTTCTTCGAGGATGGCACATAAAGATGAAAAGGATGATACACAAAGATGAAAAAGATGATACACAAAGATGAAAAAGATGACACACAAGGTGATCTGTTATCTGAGATGGTAGCATACTCATCCAGGTGTCACTGTCATCTTTCTATTCTCCCTCGTGACCTTTGTAACCTTCTGCAATTCTTGTGCAGCATTCCCCATGGCATTCGTACCATCTCAAACATTTCTTCCTTCAAAGGGGAGCTCCTGCGATCCCATCTCCATAATCTACAGATCATTTCTCACCTGTAGGTTCAACTCACTGTACATTCTCACCAGTCTCTTGAATTCTTGTCTTGAAAGTTTACAGATCCAATCGGAAGTTACCAGCTGGAGGTTCTTTGGTTATAACATCCCAACTTCTTGGATAAGTATTCTTATCCTCTGCACTATCTGGTAGGTTCGCGCCCCATTTTGATGAGAGTGCCCTTGTAACTCCTGCTTTATTGATGCAGCAGTTCAGTTCTTCTGGAAGGCATGGACATAACCTCCGAGTCTTCTATAAGCATTCACTTGTTGCTTCTTCAGAACAGCTAGATCCATAGCCACTGAAAGTAGCCCTGCTACGTCATGATTAAGCATAGCTCTTGTCAGGTCATGCATTTCTGCTGGTGCGACTACCACATCCAAGGTATCTGGGAGCAGTATGTCATTCTCTTGTGGTGCTCCTTCATTACTCGAGAGTTCTACCAGGTTTATTTTGTACCTTTCTACCAGGTTTATCTCGCATCCTTCCACCATCAAATATGCTTCAGTGCCGTCTATCATGAGTTGTACCTCTCTGGAAATTTCGTTTAGTTCTCTACGCAATTTGTTAACTCGCTCAAGAAAGCTTTCAGGAAATTGTAGGTGGGTCATGTTGAATATTTCAGTAGTGGCGAGGAAAATTTCATGCTTTGTTCTTAAATTCAGGTATTCTCATGCACAGTTATTATCTCCTGTCATCTCACGTGAGATGAAACCTCCTTTGTTTGTAAGACTTTAAACGGCTCCTGTGTACAGGTCGATCGTTACGTATTTCTTCACTTATGGTTTGTAATATGTACGATCCATTGCCCAGGACACGATGGATGAAGTAAAGTCCCGTCCACCTGTTTCGAAACTTGTCGCCGTGTACGTTTTGTAGATCTGAATGATATTCCAGTACTATATTGCCAATTTTATACATCATTACTCTAATCCCCCCTATCGTAGACTCTCTTCTGTCTTGCTTGGGTATCTTTTATGTTTCCGGCGGCCTTGATTTTATTGTTTGCAAATGTCCCTATAATTTCGCTAACCCTTCTATTTATCAGGTCCTCATACTGATTTTTGTCAATTTCCGTAACTGGCCAAGTGACGACGTCAAGTTCTATGGGTAAGGTAGGGGCACGACCATAAAGTAAATAAAAGGGTTCATATTTTGTTGTTCTGTTCTTGATGGTTCGATATGCAAAAAGTGCCAGAAGTATCAACACGTCCCAGTCATATACTGTTTCTCCAACATATTTCATCAGGACTCTGCACAATGTCTGATTAAACTGCTCTGTTAATCCGTTAGTTTGTGGGTGGTATGCAGACATAAGTCTATGATGTGCTTCTATTATATCCACCAGGTTGGTTACTACCTAACTGATGAATACCATTCCTCTATCGAACAGTATTTCTCGCGGACATCTGTGACGGCATATAATCTTGTCATATAGGAACCATGCGACTGTTATCACATCCGCTTTTTCTATTGCCCTCGCTTCTGGCCACTTGGAGAAATAGTCTGTAGCTACTATGATATATCTTTTCATTGTGGACGTCAGTTTCAAAGGTTCCACAATATCTATCCCTAACTGATCAAACCCTTGTTCTACTTTGATAGGTCGTAATTCTTTGATTCTTGTAGGTTTGCCTTGGCATAGGCACACGTCGCAAGTCTCTACATAGTTCCTTACATCTGTACCTATCGTGAGCCAGAAATATCGCTACCTTGTTCTGTCTATTGTCAATTTTATGCTGAAATGTCTTGCATTCGGCACACTATGTATGTTGTATAATATTTTTGTTACGTTATCCTTCAATATTACCTACAATAGGCTACCATCCTTGTTTCGCTTGAACAATAAATTGTCTTGTACGATGTAATGATTCGCTTGTTGCCGTAATTGTCGTCGTTGCTCGCTTATCCAATTTTGAGGGAAAGTGTAATTAATTAAATATTCGATTATTTGATTGTAATTATTCGTATCCATTTCTGAAAGGTTTTGCAATCTTGCTGCGTATTCGAGTTCCTGTGTATTTTGTCTTGCTTAATACTTAATGCGGGATAAAGCGTCTGCATTGGTGTTGTTATGGGTATTATTGTTAACATCCATTCAACGGTTCTTTTAAGGAGTTTATAGTTCTTCCCCATAAGTACAAGACTTTCAATTTGGTTGTTCCTTAAATTTTAGAAGGTACCAGTTAGTTTTTAGATAGAACTAACAAACTAATATATATTGATACTATATATCACACCGATACTACACAAAAATGTATAAAATGTATAAAATGTATAAAATGTATAAAATGTATACCCAAGAGCTGGAATATAATAAAGAAACAATTACCGCTAAGCAATTATTCAAACTAGCTGGGCGTTCGAGGAAACCAAAAATATATAACCCCAAAACGAATCGTATAATTGCAATCGATGGACCAATATATAATAAATTGATACGTGGTGGATATGTGCATTGGGAAGAAGAAGGACTCTTGATTCCACCATCACCATTCGAAAATTATATTAACGGAGCAAGCACAAGGTACTAAGAAATAAAAATAAAATACTATACATCATGACTTGTAAAGTCGCCCCTAAGGGCCTGATTATAGCCTAAGTCTTCACAACTCGAAGCTATAAATTTTTTCGTTATATTCTATGTATTGATAAATTTCAAATCAACAGATGTGTACTATATACCTGATATATATCAATTATTTTTTCGAGGATTTCCTTAAGCGAAGCTATATCCTCCTTGATGCCTGCTATATTTTACACAATCTTATTTCGCAGAGCTACGGATTCCATAATCTTTAGCCGAACTCGTGCCTTATTCACATCTATTTTCTGATAGAATTACATTAACCACGACCCATTCAATTTTTAGGCATAGCTATACTGACCCGAGATAATTAATTTCGATTTGAAAAAATATATTTTATGGTGTATACAACCTAAAGAATTGTTCATAACCTACTCGACTTACTATAACATTCAACCATGTTAGCTATCGCAACAAAAATCGTTGAGAAATACAATCTCAGCTCCAAAACTGACCCATCTGAACTTAGTCAATATACCTCTGAGTTTCTCAAAAACCTTACGGATGATAGAAAAAGGGGTCAAGCACGAAGACGTCTTCGGGATGGCTTTAAATTTAGTAGTGAGCAGGTAAGTATATTGATACCTAATCAGAGAAACGGGGTTAATAAAACTATAAATATCGTCAAAGATAGTTGCAGAATAGCTATAGCTTTACCTCCAAAAAATTTGGAAGAAGAGATTATCAGAGAGATAGCAAAACGAATCTTGCAGAATAGATATGGGTTTAGTGAGAATCAAATAAATGCATTATTCTCTATCCAGAAAAATGAAAATAAGACCAAGCAGAACGTGCCCTGTTCTACAGTAAACATTGTTATTTCTAATCAGGTCCTACAAGAAACTATTGGAGAAATGACACATCAGTTTTTACAAGATAAGCTTAGTATTAGGGATATAAGAGCTGAAATTTATGCCTTAACCCTATCAGTATTAAATGCCAATGCTGGTTCATCACATCATTCACGGCTTCGGAGAGAATTAAGAAATATTGGTATTTAACCTCAGATTATCGAGGCCACGAAATTTTCAGATATTACAGAAGATGCTAACAAAATTCAAATAGACAATCAGAAAAAGGCTAAAACCATTGATTATCCAGATGAATTTACATTAGAATCAGTCAAAGAAAGATTAGATGCGTATGATTTAAAAACCTCACCCAATTATCAAGCTCTTGTTGATGTTATGGTGATGCTTTGTATTCACCCTGTTGAACTTATAACTTTACGTATTACAGATGCTGGAGTAACAGGTTATGCAAAGAACAGGGGTTAACCAGATATCCCTAGAAAATTTAGATCTATGGAAAAGAATCAAGAACGAGCCAAAGAATTACTAACCTGGATACAGAATGCTATATCTTCTGATCGAATGGGGGACCCAGGTAAGCCAGGAGCTAAATGGTTCAATAGATTTTTAAAAGGTTATGATTTAGTTCCTAAATACTTATGTAAATTAGGAGCAGTTTATACTGTAGTAACGAATGGAGCGAAAAATATAGCCCATGCTTATACAATTACTGGGGAAGCCCTACGCCACAGCTCTGATAACCATGCTTCTCCAGTACAAAATTATGTTGTAGTAAATTATCGCAGAAAAAATCAATCTCCAGATCAGGTGAGACCATTTCAAATCTATGATACAGATTAATAGATTAGTAATTAAACAAATCAATCTTTATTGTGTATTGTATATTCCCAACGATACCCTCCAGCTTGAGATCTAATACCTTGACATACTGCACCAATATTTTGACTTTTGATTCCAGTTATATGCTCTGCCTCTTTTAATGAAAGAAATTCTTGAGTAATTCCATTATCAGAAATTTGCTTAACTGTACGTTTGTAACCATTCCAAAGTTCAAGACATACAGCATGTTGCATATTTTCTTTTTGTGTACACCATTCAAGATTCGAAACTCTATTATTAGTGGAGATTCCATCAATATGGTTTATATAATTTTTACCTTGCTCTTTCAGACAAAAGACCGTTGCTACTAAACGATGAACTATATATTTTTGATATCTACTACTGACCCGAAAATACCTTCCACTTAATGAGCCTTGTGTAATTATACCATTTAATAATTTGACTCTACCTAAAGAGGATACTTGAATTTTTTGCGAATCAAATTCTATTTCTTTCCATTCTTCATTAGGATCAGATTGTATATAATCATCATAATACATCCAAGCCCATCTACCAACCATATTTCATTTTCCTCTACAACACGTGGCAATATTTCTTCTACTAATATTAAGTGTAATACCTGTGAGTTTTGCCAAATCCCAAATCTGAA